CTGTGGCCGGTGGAAGCTGGAGTGGAGGCTCTGGAGAGACACAGTCGTGCGACAGCCCAGGGCAGGCTGGAGGGGTTTGTTTACTTGCAGGACAAGCCAGTCAGCTGGACCCCAGGCAGCAGTGGGAGACGAGGAAGATGAGTTCAACGATGAGGAAGAAGGCGCCGCCCACCACCAGCTCCCGGGCCCAGGGGAAGCCACGAGCTGCAGAGAGAGGAGAATCAGGCGTGGAACCAGCAGGCGCGTATCACAGCCGATGGCAAGACCTGGGGTGTCTGCACCTCCGACAATCATAGAATCACAGAACACTAGGACTGGAAGGGACCTTGCGAGGTCATCGAGTCCAGTCCCCTGCCCTCATGGCAGGACCAAATACTGTCTAGACCATCCCTGATAGACATTTATCTAACCTGCTCTTAAATATCTCCAGAGATGGGGATTCCACAACCTCCCTGGGCAATTTATTCCAGTGTTTAACTACCCTGACAGTTAGGACTTTTTCCTAATGTCCAACCTAAACCTCCCTCGCTGCAGTTTAAGCCCATTGCTTCTTGTTCTATCCTCAGAGGCCAAGAGGAACAAGTTTTCTCCCTCCTCCTTATGACACCCTTTTAGATACCTGAAAACCACTATCATGTCCCCCCTCAATCTTCTCTTTTCCAAACTCAACAAACCCAATTCCTTCAGCCTTCCCTCATGGGTCATGTTCTCTAGACCGATAATCATTCTTGTTGCTCTTCTGTGGAACCTCTCCAATATCTCATGGCAAACTCCCCTGGATCTCAGGCACTGAGACGTGAAACCTACCCCCAGCCCTTCCCTGTTGGTCTGGTGGGCACTGACCCCTGTTCCTCCTCATCCGTGTGTCTGAGAGCTGGGCTCCCCTGCGTCAATCTCAGACCCTGCGCCCCTGGAGACTATCTCAAGTCCATCCTTGTAGAAGTGGAACCTCCACTTGCTGGTGTTCCCAGGGGACGTGCAATGGTTAAGTACAGAGGAGAGATAAGGAGCCAAGAGCTTCAAAGGTCTCTCAGAAGCTCCAATTGATAATGACACAGTGAGGAGGTCAGACACTTCTATCTGTACCTCTCACCTCATCCCACCTCCTTTTCCCAGGAGACTTCGGTAGGACCGTATTCTTCCAATGGGAGCCACCCAGAAAGCTGAAGGAAGGAGCTAGGGATGCCTCACCTGTCCTGGGCTCACTCATGGGGATGTTCACAGACTGGCTCCTGGGGGACGGGACCCACCTCCCGCTCACATTCTTCTCATACCCACAGGTGAAGTCGCCCATATTGCTGGGACCGGCCTTGAGGACGCGGGTCACAGGGACGTTCACAGAGCCAGAGCTGGGCTCCCCTGCGTCGATCTCAGACCCTGCGCCCCTGGGGACCATCTCAAGTCCATCCTTGTAGAAGTGGAACCTCCACTGGCCGGTGTCCCCGGGGGCTGTGCAAGTGAGGAGCAGGGGTCCCCGGGGGCCGTGCAGGTGAGGAGCAGGGGGGGCCCTTTGCTCACAGGTCCAGACGGGGGATCCCCACTCGGTGCCAGCTTGGAAGAGGAACCTGTGGGGAGCAGGAAAAGGGAGGGGTCAGCGCGGGACAAAGTGGAGCTGGTGCCCAGAATTCAATGTACTCAGAGCAGACCCACGCTCTGTCTCCAGAGCCTCCTGCTTCACTTCAGGATCCAGAGGGTCTTGGCACAGAAATGAGGGAGATCTGAGCTGGGAGATGGGTGGCTTCCCTCAGATACACTGTGGTGCCCCAACTTGGATCCAGCAGAGAGACAGAGGAGGGGGAGCCGGGTTGGGTCATTTCAGGCCCTGGGATGGAGCAGAGGGGCAGATGTTACCAGGCCAAACTCGTGTCAGGAGCTATAGGGGGCTGGAGAGTTCTCTGTGGGACATGCCCTGCACCTCGCTAAACCCCAGCCCTGCCCTGGGCCCACATTATCCCGCAGGGGGGCAGGGTCTCTCTGTGAGGGACTCCCTAGCTGGGCTGGGCTGCCCAGAGCATGTGGAATTCACACACTGGCTGGGGGGGCACGGCCCCATGTGGTCGCACTGAGGCTGAGAGGTCCCAGGGTGGATTCTGCCACCGGTGTTACACAGAGCAAGAGTGGGGGGTCCTGCCACTCCCTTGGCACCAGGCACCACACTAGAGACCATAAAACAGCTCTGATGCCCCCTCCAACCTCAGAAGAGCCCCCAGGCATGATGCTGCCCAGACAGGGGTAGAAACTGCCTCGGTGGGGCCCGGTGTGGTGCTGAGGGACTGAGCGGCACCACCACACTAGAGACCATAAAACAGCTCTGATGCCCCCTCCAGCCCCAGCAGAGCCCATGGGCATGATGCTGCCGAGACAGGGTAGAAACTGCCTCCGGTGGGTCCTGCTGTGGTGCTGAGGGACCAAGCGGCATCTCCCCATGGCTGGAGGAGAGACCCCAC